AGAGCAATGAGACAGTTTCAAAACCGATTAGTGTGACAGTTTCAATAATTAATACATTGCATATTGTTGGTAATAACATAATTGTACTGGGGGACTTTAACACCCTATTGACACAAAGAGATAGATCAAGTAAGCAAAAAGTCAGCAAAGAAATAACTAAATCAAACTTGCAAAGAAACAGACTTAGCAGACCTTCACAAAGTGTTCCACTCAACAGCATCAGAATATATTCTTCTCAGATGCACATGGGACATTCTCCAAAACAGACCATATACTAGCACATAGAGCATGGTTAAATAAAGGCAAAGGAACTGAAATTATCCCATGCATATTATCTGACCATAGTGCAATGAGAATGGAAATTATTGACAAAAGAAATAGCAAAAACTCCATGAACACACAGAATCGAAGTATTATCCTTCTATATAATCAATGGGTCATGGATGAAATTAAACAATATTTACAAAATCAAATGAAAAAGCAGATACAACTTACCAGAATCTGTGGAATGCAATGAAAGCTGTCTTAAGAAGGAAATTTATAGTGGTAAATTTTCATATCAGGAAAACAGAATGAGCCCAAATAAACAATCTTATGCTGCACCTCATGCTCCTAGAAAAAGAAGAGCAAGTCAAGCCCAAAGCCCAAAGAAGGCAGGAAATTATTAGAGCAGAAATAAATACAACAGAGATAAAGAAAACAATCAAAGAATTAATGAGTGGAAGAGTTAGTTCTTTGAAAGAATAAAATTAATAACCCCCTAGCCAACCTCATCCAAAAAAGGAAAGAAAAAAATTCAAATTCAGTCAATAAGGAATGAAAAGGGTGAAATCCTTTTAGACCCTATAGAAATTTAGAAGATCATCGATACCTACGTCCAAACCTTTACTCTCAGAGGATGGAAAACACAGAAGAAATGGACAGATTTCTTGATACATACAAACTACCAAAGCTGAATCAAGAACATATAAAAATTCTGAATAATCCAATATCAATGAAATGAAAATGTAATTAATAAAATGCTAACAAACAAAAGCCTAGATACTGATAAATTAACAGCTGAATTCTACAAGAAATTTAGAGAATATTTAAAGCCAACTCTTCTAAAAATCTTCAATGAAATTAAAAGGAAAGCATTTCTCCCAAACTCGTTCCTGGAGGCATGAATTATTCTCGATACCAAAACCTGAAAAGAACCCAACCAAAAAAGAGAACAATACGCCAATCTCCCTGAAAAACATAGATGCAAAAATCTTCAATAAAACACTAGCAATTAGAATGTACCAAATCAAGATTATGCATCACCACCAAATGTGATTCATCCCAGGAATGGTTCAATATGTGCAAATCCATAAATGTAACACACCATATCAACTGAGCAAAAGACAAAAATCTCATCTTCATCTTTATTGTTTTTTTTTTTTTTTTTTTTTTTTTTTTAGAAAAAGCTTTTGACAAAGTCCAAAACTCATTCATGAAAAAAAAAACTACCAAAAATCAAAATAGATGGTCTTTACCTCAATCAGATAAAAACCATTTATGACAAGCCAACAGCCAATATCATACTAAATGGACAAAAGTTAGAAGCTTTCACTTTAAAAATCTAGAACAAAAGGCCCAGGGAGATGGCTCAGTAGAATAAGCCCTTCCCTGGCAAGCGCAAGGGCTTGAGTTCAATCCCCAAATCCACAAAAAAATAAAAATAAAAATAAAAATATATAAAATTTAGAAAAAGGATGCCTACTGTCAACACTCCTGTTCAATATACTTCTTAAAATACTAGCCACAGCATTTAGACGAGAGAGAAATAAAAGGAATAATGACTGAAAAGGAAGGAGTAAAATTATCATTATTTGCAGATATGATACTGTACATAGAAAACCCCAAAAACTCCAAGAGACTTGTAGAATAACCAAATTCAGTAGTGTAGCAGGATACAAAGTCAAAAATCAAAAATCAATACCATTTCTATACACAATGAATGCATCAAGAGAGAAATTATAGAAACTACGTCTTTCACAATAACATCCAAAAAAATAAAGTACTTAGGAATCAGTCTCAGAAAAGTGAAAGATTTATACAGTGAAAATTAAAGTACTCTGAAAAAAGAGATCAAAAAGGATTTCAGATAATAGAAAAGATATTACTCACTCCTGGATAAAAGAAACAACATTGTGAAAATGGTCATATTCCCAAAATTGTTATACAGATTCAATGCAAGCCTGATTAAAATATCAATAATATACTTCACAGATCTGAAGAAAAAAAAAAAAAGTTCCTAAAATTCATCTGGAACCAGAAGAGACCTAGACTAACAAAAGCAATCCTGGGTAACAAAGGAAAGGCAGGAGGCATCAGAGGCCCTGACTTGAAATTATACTATGAAGCTACTATGACAACATCAGCATGGTACTGGCATAAAGATAGATCTGAGGATCAATGGAACAGAATAGAAGATGCAGATATACCACAAACACACTCAGCCACCTTATCTTTGATAAAGTGGCCAAACATGTTCACTGGAAGAAAGATAACCTCTTTTACAAATGCTGATGGAAAAACTGGCATTGCAAATGAAGGCTAAAAGTAGGCCCATGTCTATCAGCATGCACAAAACTGCAGTCAAAATGGATCAAACATTTAAATATTAAAACAGAAACACTAAATCTTCTAGAGGAGAAAGTAGAAAGAAACCTTAAGGACACAGGTAAGTAAAGAGTTAATGAACAAAAATCAAACTACACAGGAAATACTTCAAAGAATCAACAATTGGAATCTCACCTTTTTGTGTGTGTGTGGAACCAGGGATTGAACTCAGGCCCTTGCGCTTGCCAGGGAAGCGCTTATTCTACTGAGCCATCTCCCCGGCCCCTTAGGGATCTCACCTTTTTGAAAGTTTCTGCACGTTAAGAGAAACCACCATCAGAGTAAAAAGAAAAACCATGAATTGGGAAAAAAAAAATTATAGCTCACTGTCCCTCAGACAAAGAACTCCTATCTAAAACATATAAAGAATTGTTAAAAATCAGGTCTTCCAAATTCAAAGACCTAATCCAAAATTTGGCATCTGAGATGAATATACACTTCACAAATAAAGAAATATAAATGGTACATCAATATATGAAAAAATGTTCATCATCATTGATCACTCAAGAGACGCAAATTAAAACAACGCTGAGAAACCATCTTACGCCAGAAGGAATGGCTATCATCAACAAGTCAACCAATAACAAATGCTGGAGAGGCTGTAGGGAAAAGGAACCCTTCTCCACTGTTGGTAGGAGTTGAGACTGGTTGGTACAACCATTATGGAAATCAGTAGGGAGATTTCTCAAAAAGCTAGGATTAGAAGTCCTATTCAAGTCAGCTATTCCCGTTAGCTACTTTCACCAAAAGAACTGAAATCATCATACCATAGTCATGTATGTGTAGCCATAATTATAGCAACACAATTTTTCATAGCTAAATCTTAGAAACAACCCAAATGCCCATCAACTGAGAAACAGATAAAAAAGATGTGGTATTTTTACACACTAGAGTATTACTCAGTGATTAAAAAAAAAAAGATAAATTCAAGGCTTTTACAGATAAATGGATGCAACAAGAGACTCTATTGGTAAATGAAATAAATCAGACCTGCATGTGCAACACCATATTGTCTTTTTTTTTTCACATTTCTTTAATAAAGTACTTTAAAAATTCAAAGAAGAATTCAAGAACAAAAAGACTACATGTCATGTAGTTTTTCAAATAAAAAAAAAGGAAAACATAAGTAAATAAAATTTAGGCATACCAACCATGTCCCTTTGAGGTAGAATGCTAAAAGGACTCTAGATCAAATCACAGCCTAATTTAAACCTCTGTATCTGAAAAGTCTCATAAGTTCTCTCTGAAGTTAATTGTGGAGAATATTAAGTATAACACTGCTAGTGTGAGAACCTGAAAGAATAAAATCTGAAAGGTTCAGCAGATACTGTGAAAGGGAAAGACTTTTTCAGTGGGAAAGAAAAAAGGGCATGAGGAAAAGGAC